TGAATGGTTGTCTGTCTCTATGTGTCAGCCCTGTGATAGTCTGGCGACCTGTCCAGGGTGTACCCTGCCTCTCGCCCAATGACAGCTGGGATAGGTTCCAGCCCCCCCGCGACCTCCAACAGGATAAGCGGTTACAGAAATGAATGATTGAATGAATCCAGTATTTATATGTTAATATGCTGTAATAATAGCTAACAACCTGTAACTATATACAGCTTGGACTCCTTGTTCTTTGCTGTATGAGTAGCTCTTATCTAATCAGTCGCTTTTGCTTCACTTTGGTTTTCAGTGATTCCACCAGAATGATCTAAATACGAAGTAAATATTGTGCTGTAAACTAAAGTGCTACCACTGCTTGTAAATCTCACACATATTAAATTACACCAGTGTGTTGTAAATTGCTATGATGTAAGTCTTTAATGAATTTGTAGCATCCCAAAAACATTGATAAACGCATCCATGGTGAGACATTATGATTCTATCTTGTGTCACATCCATTGGACAAATCCTGATAAACAGTATTCTGCATTTAAAGTCGTCATGAAGGCTGCGACTTCACTGAATCCAGCAAAGAAAGAAGTATCACTGAAGTGATTGGATTCACATGTTGCTGCTCAGACTGTGAAATCATTATTAAGTCTTTGCATACCTTCAAAACAAAAGGAACAATTATGTGTTCTTTCCACAAACTCTCTCATAAAATTATTGTGTCCATGATTAAGGACCAAAAATGTGTAAAAGAATTATTGAGGTAATTGGAAGGTTTGGCAGAGCCAGTGGACAACAGCAGACCTCAGACCAGTGACTGTACCACTGGGGCCTGATCCATGACAGCTTTAATGTGAACCGGAGAGCCTGTCCAGCAGTGTTGGGTGGACCTGGGCTTCACATGCAAGTGATTCACAAGTTTAGTATGTTTCACAAGAACACTAAGAAGCATAAATCAATGAAACCTGAAACTAAAATGATACTTTTGCAACTGGGGTCAACCTTTGTAGTTTTGGTCGCAGTCACCACTCACCAAGATCTGTGAATGTGGCTGTGGCTGCTGTTATAAACAAATCCTGCGTTAACCAAGCTTATTTGGAGGAGAAAATGAAGGTAAATGGTACAAGTATTACCCAAAATGTAATATTTTAAACATGAGTCACACTTTACAGACTGACTCCCTGGTTCAGCTTTGGCCCACTGTTGTTGCCACAGTTGTGCACACTGCAATAAGAAATTATTACCTACATTTTGGGGGTGCTAATTTACCTCCAAATAAAGTGGTTTACATAATCTGACGTAACTGTTGGTTTGTTTACTGTCCATCTGACTGTTTGACTGCTTGTTTCTTGCCCTGTTTGTTTAAGTGATGTCACGGTGTACCCAGAAACTCACCAAACAAAGAAAGTAAAAGCATTTTACTTCGTTTGTCTTAGTTTTCCAAAAATGAGGTTTGTCTGATGGCTTTGTCTGATTTGGTGCGGCATCTGCAGCGATGTAGGCACTGCAAATCTTTCAATTTACTGGTCGATCTAAGTCCCCACCCTCACCTATGGTCATGTGCTCTGGGTAGTGACCGAAAGAATGAGATCACGGATACAAGCAGCCAAAATGAGTTCCTCCGTGGCGTGGCTGGGCTCAGCCTTAGAGATAGGGATGGAGCTCGGACATCCAGAGGGAGCTCGGAGTAGAGCCGCTGCTCCTTCATGTCAAAAGGGGTCAGTTGAGGTGGTTTGGGCATCTGATCAGGATGCCTCCTGGGCGCCTCTTGTTGGTGATGTTCCAGGCACATCCCACTGGTAGGAGGCCCCAGGGTAGACCCAGTACATGCTGGAGGGACTACATGTCCCATCTGGCCTGGGAACGCCTTGGGGTTCTCCAGGAGGAGCTGGAAAGCGTTGCTGGGGAGAGGGACGTCTGGGGTGCTTTGCTTGGCCTGCTGCCCTCACAACCCAGCCCTGGATAAGCAAATGAAAATGGATGGATGGATGGATGGATGGATGGATGGATGATGTCCACCAGTGCAGTGGTTGTGTAAATTCTGTTATTCGCCAAAAAGGTTCATCATGTATATGTTTAATTGTGACACACTAGTCATGTTTTAAGTATTTTATCTGGTATTCTTGCCACTTAATGAGGTCAAACTCCAGAATGTATTTCTTGGCAGGATGAATGTGCATCTGAAACACCATTCAAACTCTCACGTGACACTGAATTCTGTAGTAAAATACCTGTCTGTATCAGCCCAGTGTGTAATCAAACGGATGTCTCATCCTATCACATGGTTTATGTTTTGCACTCATAGAAGTTCTATGTGTCCATCTGTCCACTAACAGGAAAAGTATGAGGAGCTGTTTATTGGGGAAAATCCATCCTTCCTACCGACAGATGGTTCTGCTCAGATCATTGAGGTCAAACCTCAGGTGACTCTCAAAAACGTGGTCAACAAGGAGGCCTCTCAGGTGTCGAAGACCGGTCCCAAAGGAATGATCATCAGAGGAATGACTTTTTATAAATCTGAGCCAGATCCGATGGTGGCCGATGACGGAGAGCCTGGAGAGAACTGTGAGTGCAAAGCTTTTAGTCAGCTTTAAGGGTGTGGGTTAAAAGCAAAGAAAAAAAACACAGTTATTACAGTAGTGTGTTAATCAAGTGATGATCCCATTTACAGCTATGAAGTGTAAATATAACTTTTCCTTTCATGTCCACATCTGCTAAGCATGAGACAGCAGAAGTGGTTTGGATGAATAATCACATTACATTACTTGATGTCAGAGGATAAAAGCACAAAAGCTTAGTGCTTATCTGAACTGCCTGCCAGCTGTCAGCTGCTCCGTCAGCTGCTGTGGACACTGCAACCATGTACAGTTAGAAATGGGCTCAATCCTGTGGCTTCTTCTGTTTGTGTGTGCTGTAATTTGTGAGTTTAGATGATGGAAACTGAGAATTTTGATGGTACTTAAAAAATATTTCCTATTTTCTAAAGGCACTCAGATTATTTGACCAAATATTCTTTCCCTTTTTTTAGTTTTTGAGTATCATGGATTCAGTGGTGATGGCCCAGTTAACCTCTTCATTGAGGAGAATCTTCTACAACACAGAGCCCCTCGCCCCAGGATGAGAGCAGGACCGAGATCATTTCGACCAAAGACGACTTTTTACAGCTCCATGAAGACCAGCCAATCAACAGAAAGGAAAGAAGCTGAGCCCGCCTCAGAGACGCATAATGAGTTCATCAGTGCTGTTGGAACCACATCAGTGGATGTGTCTACAGATGTACAGGGCGATGCATCCACAATGAGAAGCGTCACATTTGGACCATCCTCTACCACACAAAAAAACATCACAGACACCCCACCTCAGACTACTCAAAGAGTCTCTGCTGTGACGACTCAGCGGCCGACCCCTTTCACAATGACTGAACCAGTGGACACTTCTGTAAGCATCACAACCAAAACTTCAATGAACACGACCCAACTGTCCAAAAATACAACCACAAAAGACGTCCCACCAGCATTCACAACAGGAACTACACCAACCACCATGATGGAAACCTCTGCCCAGGAGGTGAACGCCCAAATGCAAACCATACCTAGCACCGCAGCACATTCAAGCACCCATGCACCAAACCCAACCACAGAGGCTTTAACTACCAGTCCGACTTCCACTACGACCGTCACGACTCATGCTGCTGTGACCTCAGCACCAGTACAGCCAACAACAGCTTCCACACCAGTTACCTCCACGCAGGCTGCTACCACAACACCAGAAAAAGAAACCACCTACACTTCAGGCTCGACTTTACCTCCTACCACACAGAGAGTGACCACTTTGTCTCCCCACACTTCTCCACCTTTCACCACACCTGTGACTACCTCTTCTTCAGCTGCCACCACCACCACAACAACAATCACTACCACCACCACTACAACCACGACTACCAGGCCAGCTACTCGAATCAAAAAGAAATACAAAATCGTCTGGGAGGAGGAAGAGGGGGAGGAGGGAGACCCAGAGTTAGACGAGCCAATGCAGAGGCAGGAGGAATTTCTCCCAAAAAAACCTGGTAAGTTGAGTTTTTGTGTCAGATGTCAGTTTTAATATTAACAATCTTGGCTATTAATTGAAACCTTGAGCGACATCACTTTTGTTGTGCTGCTTTCAGATGCCTTTCGCAAATATTTAAACCTTTGAACCCTGAGCATATTGGTGCGATTGCTTTCAAGAACATGGGGAAAAAAGCAATGGGCAACTTGGTAAGAATGTCCCACAAATTGCAAGAAAATAATAGATTTAGATGATGAATGATTTTAAAAATTAAAAACAAAGGGAAAAAAAGAAATAGAAAAATAATTATGATTATTACATATTTGATTATTGTAAAAAAAAAAAAGTAAAAAAAAAAAACTGTTATAATTTTTAAGCAGGTTTTCCATGTAATTTTCTTGCTTGTTTGTTTTAAGATTTTTTTTAACTAATTTTCTTGTTTTGAATTTTCACTTTTTACTAATTTCTTGGAATTTATTTGGGTCATTTCTTCTTGTGTTGCTCATTGCCTTTTTCCCCATGTTTCTGAAAGAAATCAAGCCAGTTTGCTCAGGTTTCAAAGGGTCACAATGCTAGCATGATGGTGTACATTGTTTACCATGTTTACCATCTTAGTTTAGTGTGTTAGCATGGATGTTAGCACACTAATCAGCCCTAAATACAGCTAAGGTAGATGGTATGTCCCCGGATGGAACCAAAGTATTGGATAATTTAAAAAGTTGACCTGACGATGCTATTTGTAATTTTATTATATATATGTATTTTATTCCTGGCATCATGGATATCTGTACCAAATTTCATGGCAGTCCATACAGACATATCTCTAAAAAATCAAGTAACAGCTTCATGGTGGTGCCAGAGGAAAAGTCAGGGGATCACCAAAGTGAGCAGGCTTCATCTTCTGGGGACCATTAATGTCTGAACAAAATTCCATGTCCATCCATCAACTAATGATAATCTTTATTTATAAAGTGCTTTTCAAAACAGAGTTACAAAGTGCTTTACATGTCAATAATTAAAACAAACAAGACATGAGAACAACAACTTTTAAAAGAACTCATAAAAACACTTTAGTGTATGAAGACTGAGGAAATATAGAACAGTCTAAATGAACTTAAAACTCAAGTAAAATCCGAAAAGGCTCTCCGATAAAAGTATGTTTTAATAAGGGATTTAAAAGAGACCATTGACTCGGCCGATCTGATTTTGGGGCCCTGAGACTCTGGAAGTGGCCCAGAGTGGTTGACCACTTGAACAAGCGTCCAACCAGCATCGCCATCCCAAGAGCCACGCTGCCAGAGTGGCTAAGAAAAAATCTTATTAAGTTCTTAAAACAGCTTTACAGCAAAGATATTGGCAAAAAAACCTGTAAATTCCCTTGTTAACATTTGCTGTCTTTGAAAGACTACAAAGTACCCCTATCAAGCCTTAAAACGTCTCATATTGTTGTGGTAGATGTCATTTAGAAATCTATTATATTGATATTGTTTTGTGAATCTCTTGTAATTCAATGCTCAGTTCTGTTTTGCAACCTCAACTATTCCGTGATTCAAGCTGGTTAATATAAAAGCCTCTAATTATTTTCAGACTCTTTGACGTAGGTCTGGATAATGTTAAACTGCCTCTAAATCCTTACTCATGGCTCTCCGACTCTTCCACAGGAGAGTGTAAGGACACTTTGGCAACAATCTCAGAGCCCATAACTCACAACACCTATGGCAAGAACGAGGGAGCGTGGATGAAGGATCCAAAGTCTGATAATGACAAAATTTATGTCACTAACTCCTACTACGGAAATAACCTCCTAGAGTTCCGCAACCTGGAGGTTTTCAAACAAGGTAAGTGCCAGCAGACAAAGCTGTAACTACTTCACTTTGTGTTTTCTTTTTGCTTTGATGAATCTCATGCTTCTCCCTTCTTTTTATCCTTTCTAGGCCGGTTCACCAACTCATACAAGCTTCCATACAACTGGATCGGCACAGGCCATGTGGTGTACGATGGGGCTTTCTTCTACAACCGCGCCCTCTCCCGGGACATCATCAAGTTTGACCTGCGTCGGCGTTACGTGGCAGCCTGGACCATGCTGCACGACGCTCTGCTTGAAGAGTCATCGTCACTGTGGGAGTGGCGCAGACACTCAGAGGTCGACTTTGCCGTAGACGAGAGCGGCCTGTGGATCATCTACCCGGCACTGGACGATGAGGGCTTCTTACAGGAAGTGGTTGTTCTGAGTCGACTGAACCCTTCAGACCTCAGCATGCAGAGGGAGACCACCTGGAGAACCGGGCTCAGGAGGAACCACTATGGGAACTGCTTCGTTGTGTGCGGCGTCCTGTACGCTGTTGACAGCTACAACAAAAGGGACGCTAACCTGGAATATGCCTTTGACACACACACAAACACTCAGATGATTCCCAGGATGCCTTTCACCAACAACTACACCTACACCACGCAGATTGACTACAATCCCAAAGAGGGGATTTTGTATGCGTGGGACAACGGACACCAAGTCACATACAACATTAAGTTTGCCTATGTAGACCCTTAGTAAGGGTTTGATAGTAGTTATTTTAAAAAGTTAAATCTATGGTTTGAATGGATTGTAGATCAGTCCACATGGCCTTCAGTGTGGAGACAAATGGGGGCCAAATGTACAAATATACTAAATGTATTGTGACTAAATTGTTTGGTTCTTATCAAGAATTTTTAAATTTTTATAAAAGAAATAATGAGCCTGATTCCTCAGTCAACACATCAAGTTGTACTGTATATATTGCAATACTGAAGGGAAAAAAAAAAAAAAAAAAACCCTATGAGATAAATGAATGTAGATGGGTGTCAGAACCGGTTCATACCTTGGGTACAATAATATGGAAGCACATTGCATTCATGAATAAATGAAAAAACTGACACCTTATCTCATAATTACAAGATAAGATCTTGTTATTACGAGATCCTGATGTACTACGATAAGGCCTAACGTTAACGTTAGCTGATTTGTACAGATATAATGCTTTTAATGTGAAAAACTTTGACCAGAAGTACCATCCTTGTGTTTCTTGGTGGACTCACTTTACAAATCAGCTAACGTTAACGTTATTACAGTATCAGCGAAAGGCCTTATTGTAGTACGACACCAGGATCTCATAATTACGAGATCTTACGTCATAAGTACGAGATTTTGTGTTGTAATTGCAGGTTCCTATCTCGCAATTACGAGATCCTGATGTCATAACTACGAGACGTAATCTCTTAATTATGAGATCCTGATGTCATAACTACGAGATCTTACCTTGTAATTACCAGATCCTGA